CGCCGAGGGTCCGAAAACCAGTAGGCGGTGCTCGTGACCCGCGAGAGAGATCGGGTGGCGGGCGGGCGGCCTGAGCGCGCGCGGGGAGGCCGATCGGAAACGTGCGTCCAAGTCCGCAGTGACTCCCGGTGAACGGGCCCCGCAGTCTGGGATGCGTCCTGGAGTCCTGACCTCGCGCCTGTTGGATGAATCAGCCCTCCGCCAGGAGACTGCAGCTGGGAAAAGCGTTTTCGTTACATTTCAACCCTGTTCCCTACGTTGGCAGAATTATTGTTGAAAAGATGATGCCAGCGCTGTTTAGGTTTTTCTCCTCGGCCACATTCTCACGACTGTTTTCATCGCCTCCTTCTTGTGTACCGATCCTTGCGTGTGTCGTACACTGGAGTCGATCTCATCTCAGGCTTTCCCTGGGAATAACGCTGCCACATTTGCAGGAAAGAATGGGACCAAAATGTGCTTCGTAGAGGGTGGAGGGGGTTCTTTTCTGGTTTGCTTTACCCACCAACTCCTTCTCCTCCTTCGCTGCCAACGTCATTCGCCACCACCATCAGCAGCATCATCCTCAAATTCTCTGCCCAGAACTTACCTTGTGTCGGGCAGGTGTGGCTCAGGGGCTGAGCATTGACCTATGGACCGGGAGGTGAGGGTTATGTGTTCCTGGGGGCACATGCCCAGGTTGTGGGCTCGATCCCCAGTGTGGGGCCGTGCAAGAGGTGGCCAGTCGGTGATTCTCTCTCATCATTGATGTTTCTATCTCTCTCTCTTTTTTAATATATTGATTTCAGAAAGGAAGGGAGAGGGAGAAAGAGAGAGAAACATCAATGATGAGAGAGAATCATTGATTGGCTGCCTCCTGCACATCCCCTACTAGGGATCGAGCCTGTAACCCAAGCATGTGGCCTTGACTGGAATCGAACCCCAGGATCTTCAGTCCGCAGGCCGATGCTCTATCCACTGAACCAAACCAGCTAGGACCTAGCTGCTAGGGCAATGTTTCTATTTCTTGATCCCTCTCCCTTCCTCTCTGAAATCAATAAAAATGTATATTTTTTAAAAAACAAAACAACTTTGTGTGTCCATGAAGCCATCTGGCATAATAGTTTCCACCAGGGACCGTGGCCTCCACTCTGACATCTTTCTTCAATAAACGAGGAGTTTCCCCCTCACAAAAAGAGTCGTTTCTGCATGACATCAGTGAAAGAAGATCTTGTTCCCAAGCATGTTTGGTTCCGATAATAATAGCTCCCAGCAGTAATAACAGCTTCCATTTATTGACACCCACTTCCCACTATGTGCCAAGAACCTGCTCTTCGGGGCATGCAGAGTCCAGGGGGACTCATTCCACAAAACTTTCTCAGATTCCCACTATGCTCCAGGCACTGTGCTAGGCACTGGGGATGCCGTGAGCAAGGGACGTCACTACTCTCACTACACGGTCTTAGACGTGTTAGTTGATTTCATCCTTACCAAAAACCCCTTGATGCCCTGGCCCGTGTGGCACAGCTGGTTGGAGTATCGTCCCCCATACACCAAAAGATTGTGGGTTCGATTCCCGGTCAGGTGTGTACAGAAGGCAACTGACCAATGTTTCTCTCTCACACCGATGCTTCTTTCTCTCCCTCTCCCTTCCCCTCTCTCTAAAATCCATAAACATATTCTTGGGTGAGGATTACAGAAAAAAATAAATAAATAAAGCCTTGGCCCGTCTCCCTTCTTTCTGCCGGGATCATGAACATAGCCAGGAGGGAGTACCACAGCCATCTTGCAACAAGAGAGGCCTGAGAATAAAGGAAAATGTGCAAAGGATTATGGACTGGGACATATAAATAGCCTGTGTCCCCGACAGCCCCTAGCTGTCTGGCTTCTGGGGCTTCCTGTTGTGAAACACACACACACACACACACACACACACACACACACACACACACAAACACACAAACACACACACAAACCCCACTATCTGGTTAAATTAACCGCAGGAGCGTTTTCGATTATACTACAGAACACATTTCTAAACGATACTTCCAGAAAGTCAGATGTTTCCTTTAAGACAAGAATGAAACGTGCTGCCAAGCAAAGCATGCCTGAAGGAGGGGGACAACGGTGAGGCCGAAAGATGATGGGGAAGTAATGTTGCAAGACCCGTGCCATTCAGAGGAAGCTCGGGAGGAAGCGGACACTTTCTGAGAAGTCCCCTCTCAAAGAAAACCAGTTTCCCTGGCTCCTTGGATTAGAAGTGACTCATTACCACACATGCCACCTTGTTATAACATCATCTGTTTTCTCAAGAATTAGAGGGTGGTTGTTTTCCTCACTTTTGGGGACAGCACCTGGTGTCATGCTGGTAACGGTGATGGATGGATTGATTGATTCAAGGGTAGATCAATCAGAGTAAATCCCCACACATTTTGAAGACGCTTCTAGAGAAGAGGCTCTTTCCCATTGGATTTGAGCCTCAACGATGCTGGCAGCCACCTTGCCCCCATGCGGCCTGAGAACCGAGTCCACAAGAAGGAGACAAGAGCTGGGAGAGAGACCGTTTGACCCCTGATTCCAGCACATCTGAGCTCAGCTCTAACTCTGGATCTTTCAGATATAAAAGTCGACAATTTCCCACTTTTGTTTAAGCCAGTTTTAATTGGAATGTCACTTTCAAATTAGTTCTGATGGACACAAGGGGTCAGAACTGGGGCAGCCCTTACAGAGGTTTATTAAGACCTGTTCTAGCCCTATTCTGGTCAATCTCTCTCACACTGATGTTTCTCCCTCTCTGTCTCTCCCTTCCCGTCCACTCTCTCTCTCTAAAAAATAAAATAAAATAAAAAAATCAGTGGGAACAAAAATGCCTTTGGATGAAGATTAACAAAAAAAGACCTGTTCTAGCCTAATGTTTCCCATTTTCTCCATTATAACACACACAGTGGATATTATGCCCTCACAGAGCACAATATCAGAAACAAATTTACAGTTTAATAAAACCACCAAATGACTGCAAAGATGTAAAATAACATAATAATTTATCATTTTCACAACTAATTGCAATTCATATGTAAGTAGGTTGCTATGGACTATGGCAGATTAAATGGGCAGTCATTTTGCCCTGGCTGGTGTGGCTCAGCTGGTTGAGCATTAACCCATGGACCAAGAGGTCACAGGCTCAATTCCCAGTAGGGGGAGTGCAGGAGGCAGGCAATGGATGTTTCCCTCTCTCTCTCTTCTTCCCTCTATAAAAATAATTAATAAAAACATTTTTAAAAAATATGTCATTTCATTCCTTCCTCTCCTACCCAAGACTTTGGAGTTTTTAGAACAAGGCCTGGCCCAGAGAGAAACGTACAGAGAGAAATAGGCCTAACCTTCAATCTGTCTCATTTGTTTGCATAAATAACATTTCAAACTCTAGTACTTTCATATTAGCAATAAAGTACCAGACACATACCATACATTCATGGATGGAGACACCCATGAATGAGGACTGCTAAGTAAATTGGGCTCAATTATCCCAAGCTATATGAGTTACCTGCAAAACGAATACATCCATTTGTTATCTCTGGTCTAAATTAAAAATATGTATTCTTTTTCTGAGAAGAGAGTTGTATCACTTTTCTCTCTTGAAAAGATAGACATCCTTCAAGAGTATCTTTCTCAAGAACAAGATGACACCTTTCTCTTGGGTCTTGGATGTTCAAACTTGGTTTATAAAACAATTTAATGAAATGTATTGGATTCATGAAAATTTCACATTTCAGCAAATGTGAGACGTGCTTATGCTTGGAAATTCTGGTTTAATGTATGGCGCTAACCTTGTGCTATGCTCACAGCTTTTCTGTATGTTTGAAATTACTTCAAATTTTTAATTTCTTTGAAAGGAAACTATCTTTTTTTTCAACTCTTGGCTTCTTCCCTGTGGTTTCATCATATTACAAAATATTGAGGTTGTTTTCTACTTGGTTAGCAACCCCAGAAGAGAGATGAGCTTTCCACTGGTTCTAGCAAACAACTCGGGTTAGTACCTGCCATAGACTGAATGTTTGTGTCCACCCCAAACGTCACAAGTTGAAACCCTAACCTCCAATGTGATAGTATTAGATGGGGCCCTTGGGCGGTGATAGTGGGATTACTGCCCTTATAAAAGGAACTCCCTTTCCCTTCTGTCTTGTGAGGACGCAGCGAGCAGACAGCAGGCAGGGAAGTGGGTTCTCACCAGGACAATGAATTGGCCCCCACCTTGACCTTGGCCTTCCTAGCCTCCAGGGCTGTGAGAAATAAATTTTGGTTGTTTAGAAGCCACGAAGTCTATGGTATGTTGTTAGAACAGCCAAGATGGACTAAGACAGTGAATCGTTAGCCTTTCAATCCTGTGCCCATCCCTGAGCCAGTCACAGTGGCCATTGGGGAGGCTCTGATTTGCCAGGCCAGGTCACATGCTCATCCCTGAGCCAATCACAGTGGCCATTGGGATGAGAGGCTCTGATTTTGCCAGGCCAGGTCACATGCTCATCCCTGAGCCAATCACAGTGGCCATTGGGATGGGAGGCTCTGATTTGCCAGGCCAGGTCACATGCCCATTCCTGAGCCAGGGAATGAAGCTAAGGTCTCCCAAATCTCAGACATGGTGAAAACTCAGGGATGGATGAGTCACCAAAGG